TTTTTTTTTTTTTTTTTTTTTTTTTTTTTTTTTTTTTTTTTTTTTTTTTTTTTTTTTCTTCATTCGACGTATCTCCTTCCTCTCGCTCGCGCAACATCACGTGAATTTCATCAGATTATTCCAGCGCCAACTGCTCGTTATTCCTCGGACACACGCTGTCTGTCGTATGTTACTTCGAGTGTATTCCCAGTGGATGCTCCGCATCAGTTGCACGGCTAGAGATATATTTTTACATTGTATCCAGCGTTATAGCGATAGTGCAAAGATAAAGAAAGAAAAATGATTTTGATTGGTTATTCGGACTCGCAGCGTTGTACGAGCAAATGATGGTTGTCGTCGCGGCGCACAGACACTCGAAAGCTCCGATATCTGCGATCGGAACAAAGTGTACAAATAGACGATCCGTGCGATGCTGCCAACCGACGGATTACGAAATCCATCAATTAGCATCCGCGCTGCTACTGGACGAGGAAGAGCAGCGCAGGGGGCGCGTTGCGCGAACGTATTTGCACTTTCGCAAAATATTGTGCAAACGTGCCTATCGTTGGGATACATTTTCAATCGAGATACGAGTTAATCCTTGTTAGCCTCGCATTTTTATTAGTTCAAGAAAGCCAATAAGAGTTTAGGAACGAAAGAAGGAAGAGACGCGCGTGTGTGCTTATAGTAGAAACGTGAGCTGATTGCTGTTAGATAATTTTTTAAAACACAAAGTGCTCCATTTTTCGTTTTTCCATAGGTTCGAAAAATAAAAGAAAATATTTTTCGGTCGTTGTCAAATTTCTCTTGTTGCTCGAAATATCGGATCTTTGACATTCACCGAAAATCATTTTTTATTTTCACTAAATATTTCCCATGCAATCGAGGCGTTCGTTGTCGAAAGTCAAGTTGACGGGATTTTCGGGCAGGACATGTGGCATATGTATATCACCATACAATTTCCAAAGGTCAATTAGTGCTGCGACGGGGAATTAATTCGCAGTCAATTACAGCCGATATACATCCTAGTGGCCGGCCAATCAAATTGGCACCGGTCTATCGCTCTATTGCTCCATCTTTGTATCGAGGAAGACCGCAAGCAAAACACACGCGTCGAATGTGCATTACGAATCTTGACGGTTTTCAATTTCCCATTTTTCTTCCATCAAGAAAATCTTCTGGCTGCTGATGCGTCATTTCTACGAGTTTTGTGTTCGACACGTGGTATTGCTTGAGCAAGTCCGCTTTTCTCTTTGGTCAAAAGGTCGATGTTATATTTCTCAAGTACTTCCGCGAGACATTCGACGCGTCTACGGGAGCACGAGAAATAGATTGGAAGAAAAGCAACCTTTTTTTTTTCCTCTATTCTAGACTAACTGAGTCCATTGATCGCTTTTTTGTGTCAATGAGCCGACGATAAGAGTCGTGAGATCAAAGTGACACGGGGCAAAGGAAATCGATGAAAATTGTCCAAAGAGAGACGAATGAGACTTTAAGGAGGTTACGCGAGTCTTCATTTTGAAATAACGTGTAGATTGAATTTACGAATCTAGATACGGATTGGATGGGCCATCTGATATCAGAGATAGGAGATCCGAAGATACTATTGAATTGAGCAGAGGGACGACCTTGCCGAGAACTCTGAGGCGTCGCAGCTAGTGTTCTCTACGTGTTACGTAGTAACTGCTACGTAGCGGAATACGTTTAACCTGACGACATTAGGCTACATATATTTACTGCTCGTGAAGACAAAAACGTTTTCGCAAATAAATACTGACTGTGATCCGCGCGTGATCCGGATTAAACACGCAGGATGGACAAAGACGCCTTCTTCATCCCAGGTAATCGATCCCCATCGAAAGTTGCTACAGCGTAAATACAGTGGGATGTGCGAATGATGCTCGGATTCTGATCCTATGAAATATTTATCTTTTAAGTAAGACCTTGTGGCAGCATGTCTCTTCGTATCGCACTGTATGTACGCGAGTCCATTCATTTCAATTACTTAATTCGGTCGATAGAGGTTGAATCGTTGCTAAGACTGCGAGTGACGGTGCGACTGACCGTCAACCATTGACATTGCTACACGTATTAGGATAGGTTAGGTTCGTCGTTTAAATAGGCTTATCGAGAAGAGTGACGCAATTTGGCGCGAGTCCAGCAGATGCCATAAATCGTACTCGGTGATTAGCGTGAAGATGCTTCAGATAGGACGGGCCTTTCGACTGCCCAATTTAATTATTGATAAATAAGCTCAATGAATGTATTGTTAGAGCATAACGGCACAATTTACGGGCGCAGTACGCCCGAGTCATTCTTTTAAATTCGAGAAATTCGATAAAGAATATGACATAAATGTACTGGCCTGTACGATCGATTTGTGTCAGGAAAAATGGAAGAATGATTCTATGGCGAAGGTAGAGGAAGGAAATTGCAACAAAGAGCGATAAAGAGCAGCTGCACGGATTCACAAAAAGAAACCGTTGTTATAAATTGCTGAGGGAGTCTTAAAGATGAAAGGATCGGCAGCAGTGGTTTACAGCAGGAATCCTCATACTCTCAGGGAACAGGGTCTCTTAATCCAATCATACCTCAAGGAAGTCAGTGCCGAGTCGGTGAACCTCTCTCCGGTGAATTTCTCTCATCTTGGATCTCTTGGATCCAACGCTCTCAAAGTGCAGTCTGTGCCAGGGTGGTTATCTTATAACCAGAAATACCTCATCAAGATGGACAAAAGGATTCGTTCCCAGAATGTGCATTGGTCGAGAAAAAGAAAAAGCAGATAGATGAGGTTCGCGTTTTGACAGAAAGGAATGGGAGTCCCGCCATGATTCCCATACACAGTTTCAATTAGCTTCTCAAATCTCGTTACGCAGATTAGTGTTATCTTCAAACAAAACACTTAACATTGGGCACTTTCAAGGAAAATATAGATTACATTTATTCATACGCTGTATATATAATTCCAGAGGGTACTTTTAAGTAGTAAGTCAGGAGTGTGCTACTCAGCTTGATTTTAAGTTTCAAAATCCTATAATTATCGCGACTCCACTTGATTATTTTTTTTTTTTCATAATGTTCTGACAGTTTATTGTGATTAAAATTTAATAACGTTTTCGATTGACTTGATTTATCGAAGCCGAGTGTAAAGTGCAATGTCGTCCACGTTCTTACCTACTGAGCACGCCCTATGACACTCGTGCGATGTTTGACTTGAACCCAAAAAATCCACATCTCACATTCGGTGCAAGAAATTTCGACGATTTCGTCATAATATTGTGGTTTTTCCGTCGGTAACATACTCCAAGCTCGGGTCCCTGATTGAAAAGGTAACTAGGTTGGAACCTTAGGGCGTAATATGGTGTCTGGCGAGCCTAGATGTTGCGGAGATCTACAAATGCACGTAATTGCGAGGCACAGAATCCACGGGCATGTTTAGTGTATCCATAATTCAGTTGAAGCTCAGGCGTGCCCGATCGGTAACTTGCCGGGTGCACATCTACTTGGACCGTTGGTAACGGAGAATTCCCCTCTTTGTTACAGCGTTCGCGCCAACTGTCGGTATGGCAGAAAAGACGCCGGACACTTTATCGGAGACGAGCGCGAGCTCTACGACGCACCTCCTCGGAATCGTCCCTGACGAACCTTCAACTGTAATTTTGCCTACAATGAGGCAGAATGTTCCTGCATCCACGAGTCGAGCGAAATTTCGGATCTCAAAGCTAGCCGAAGATCCACCGGAACTTTTACCGAAAAAGGCAAGTCTACAAGCCAATCGGCATGTCGAAATTCCCGTCATAAGGGATTTCCAGGCAGGAACTGGATCTGCGATGGAGACAATTGTGGTGATTAATACCATCGAGGAGGTTGCCAGTGTTGAATCAAATTCCGAAGAATCCGAATTTGCACCAGCAGACTTTCTTGAGACTCCACCAATACGCCGAAGAAAACGAATGCACCTGCAACCCTGCTGCTGTTTTATGATGTGCAGTGAGTCGTTGACATTTTTTTTCTTTTTCGTGTACATGCCAATGCACGGTTACTCAGGACTACCGAACCACCTGAAGAACCATATTCGGGTGGGCCAATAGTCCCGAATAGCCGTGTATAAGTACGGACTTTTAAGTAAAACGGAAGAAAATATATTCTCTCAATTTTTGAAGAAGAAAAAGAGTTTTCAATTATCGAGAAACTATCGGAAAGCTGACGGGATGGATGAGCGTTTTTAATAGATTTTATTCTGATATGAAATTGCGTCGCTCGATCGATCCCATTAAGTACTCTGAGATACGAAACGTCACTGAGAAGATTTAAAATTCCGCCGTGACGTCACTCCCGTCGTATCATTAAGTACTATAAAGTCTGTACTTTGGGCACTTATAGGCATGTCTCCATATTAGTATCTATAGGTACAACTGTGTACTAGTCAATGTACACACAGAGTGACTATTTTCCTTGAAATTAAATTTCTAAAAATTACTCAACACGACTCGCCATTTGGATCTGAACCACTAAGTACACTTGATAGCATGTTAGACTGAAAGAAATACAGAACTCGAGAACATAGTCATTCAAAATACGCGCTTACGAATCTTTTAGTAAAAGGTCGAAAAACAATAGGAAAGGGACAGAGTCGCAATTTGCCATTCCGATTCATATCGATCTTTCCTTTTCGACTTGAGATTAATCACGCAGATTGGCAGGCTCGAAGATTTTGCGAAACCAAGTTTTGCAGACTCGGCTCAAGTCTCTTGCGAATCCATGAATCTAAGTGCGCGTACGTACGAGGATAAAATAAGGAAGAGGAAAATCGTTGAGCAGGTAGCAGAGAGGCCAAGAGAGGAGCGAGTCTAGAGATTTGAGTAGAGGGGCGGAGGGGTGGGCTGCAGCAGGACCGCGGAATGGCTGCTAAGTGACTGCGGGCATCCATGATCAAAGCTTTGCGTGGCATGTGGCGTGTGTGTACAATTGTACATGCGTGCATAGCTAGACCGTGGGACGCATGTGCTTAGGCTAAAACACGAGGCGGCGCAGTATCTGCTGTAGCCTCCTGTAAGCGACACTCAATGCCTAGGTCAACGTACAACGTACAACGTACAACGCGCAACTCGGATCTCGGATCTCGGATCTCGTAATAACTGGCCGTTATTACGAGACTAGTCGGTGACTTGACCAGTCATTAAGTCGGCAGTATTACATGACTACAGTAATACATGACTCGGTAGACATGCCTTCTGGATTCTAAGAATCAATGCCAGAATCTGATTGAATTGCTGGCACCGTCCCCACTCGGCCCAGGCGATTCCTCTTCTTCCGGTAGAACGATGGGCATCAAGGTGCCAGAGGATGAGAGTCACCTGGAGCAGCTGCCAAGATCGGGCAGTCTTCTCGGTGACTCGACTTTCTCCGCCGACCGACAGCGCGGACCCCGTCCGATTGCGAAACTTCTTCGCTGGCCGTGACGCTTTCGAGCTGTGACCATCCGAGGGACTGCAGTCCGAGCGAAGTAATGCGAGAAACGGTGAAATCGGCTGCACCGATTATTACGTCATTGATAATCGACTACCAAGCCTGGCTGTGGCACGTTACTTTGCTTTTTTACACTTGGAATTAGAATATGAATGGCTACATATTTTGACCATTAGAAAACATGGAGGGAGAACCGGAGTCGCCTTGTGGCGTGTTTTGTCACTTGCTAAGACATTCGGAATGACGACGAAAATATTATTATACAAAATTCATAGAATAGCGAAATATACGCTTTTAAAATCCAGAGACACGTCATCTGGCCTAAAAAGTCGGAAATCCCAAATATTCGGAAATTCATGACATGTCGCCCACGCAACCGTATGTGTTTGTGCACGTACAGCACTTTTGAGCGTAACGAATGTTAAGAGACTCGCGTCCTTGGCTAGCTGTCGCGCGCTTAAATATTTGAAAGAGCTAATTCGAACGAGAGCGATTGTGCGATCGCCGGACTCGCATGACGCAACGTCGCGCAAGCCGCATTGCAAAGGCATGCGCTGCACTGGCGGGTCCTTGCGATCGACAGGACCGAAGGGATCAGCACGCAGAGCGACCGGAGAGCCGGACTAGGCGCAAAAGGCTCGTCGTCAACGTGAAAACAGTCGGCGAGTGTCAATGACTGGCAGGAATAAGAATAAGAAGAAGAAAAGGAAGGGAGAAAAAGAAGAAATGAATGGGACAGCCGAATCAGCTGTCCGGTGAGCGGAGGTAAACGCACTGTAGTTTGTTTACTGCGCAGTTCGGTTACACCAAGCGGCGACAGGCGGTAGAACGTAGAAGCGAGAAGCGAGAAGCGAGAAGTGGTGGCGACGGTGGCGACGGTGGAGCCGCACTGGAAAGGAAAGGAATATTAGTGCGCGAGTGAACGACCTGCCCGAAATGTCGATTGTAGCTTCGCTATAAGCGCATCGAAGCAGGCGGCTTGATGAATTTTTATTCGTTGCTCCCCGACCGAGGATCGCGACCCGTGAAAACGCGCCCACCGTCTTTCAAGCAGGAACTGGTTTGGCCGGTATTGTCGTTGATCTGCATCAGCCGCCTGTGTACTTGGACTGCACTCGGAGGTTAGGGTTCCGCCAAGCGGAAAGCGACACCGCGGAACCAAGGACGCGATTCCAACTCTGGCGCCGCCCACTGGGACCCACGTGGAGTCGATGCACCGCGTGGAAAGGAGGAAAATTGGACAGCTGCGAGGGCCGGAGACCTCGACTTCCGCCGGATATCTCCTACGGCTCTACCTCTTAAAGGACAGTCCGCTGACGTAGGTACTAGATAGGAACGTGGGTTCCCATCTCAGGTCTCACGTGCGACACGCCGAGGCCGCACACCGTACTTTTCTACTGTGCTACTGCGCTGCCTGCCTGCGCTGCTGCGGCTAGGACCCACTGTAGTCTCTGAGGCCTGTTAGCTCCCGTTTGCAAAAGTATTCATGGCCGTTAAATGACTCTGAAATATACATAAATGTCCTATAAAGAAAATTCATGATGAAAATCATGGTGGCACCAGCATCGCCGTACAGGACTGCCGCAAAATACATTAGAACCTCATTAGGTGGGACATTACTTCGTCTCGATGGATCTATCGAGTTACTTATTGAGGTGCTTATTGCGATGATAACAGGTCCTGATCATCGCGATCACGTTTTACAGTATTTTACGAGAATGTAAATAATATCTATACATATATCTAGACCATCCGATGCAACTACAATAATTAGCACATCAAAGTATTATCTACACTTCATACTCGAAGGTTTCATTGATATTTTCGAAGGCACTACTTGAATCGTCCGCACATTCTTTTAGTTCGATGTTGCGACCAACTTCACATCACGTTGAGGGTTGGGCACTTCCTGCCTATCGGGGTTTCCAGTCTTCATGCGGAAGAGTTCTTTTAGCAAGTAGGTAACATGTTGGCGATTCGAGACACTAAGCTGCCTACGCTACCTGCATCGATTACGTAAACATGGAACCTACCTCATTAGCTTTAGTCGTTCCACCCATCTACTGGCTCGTCGCATCAATCGCATATCCATCGTTCCCTCTGTTGGTCCTTCGCTCGATTCGAGGGCCTTCGCTTTACTTTTGACCTTGCACTTTGACCCTTGTCCTTGAGGGTCCTCCGCGCCATTTCATTCCTTTTCTGTGTACACCTATATCGCCGAATTACCGTATGGGAATTGCCCTCCCTTGGCTTTGGATGCCCTCGCCAAATACTCGCCAAATACTCGCGAAATACGCTCTGAAGGAGGCTACCAGCATCGAAGAAGAAAAGTATCGCCTGTCGAAGTGCCGAGGGAAGTCTTTCTGCATGAAAACATTCCTCTGCTACTAGCTTCGTAAAAATGCTTGGAATGGAAACCTGTCGAAAGGTCGACCAATGTACGCAAAGATTCGCCACTAGAATTCCTTTGCAGTTCCGTTACTCTGGTATTTTTTTCCGATTTCCATATTACACGCCTCGGCCACTCGGTCCATTGACAGCGATGCCAATTTTGACCAAGTCAGCCGTCCGCTCGGAAGAGACTTCACTTTTACTATTTCCTGCGTGTCATTCCGTTCCGTCGGCCGGAGGAGGAAGAAACAAATGCAGGACGGTGGCTCGATGCTGAAGTTTACTTTTCGCGCAGGGATCAGTGCCTCTCGGAAAGCAGCAGCTGCGCATCCTGCGGCCATTGTCTCGCAGTTTATTGAGATAGCGCGTGGCTGTGCGGTGTTGCAAATATTTGTTCCCCAAGGCGAATCAGTGGCTAATCCGGCTGCGACGTTTGTGTTTGAGTGACGCGAGTCTTTGTGTTCCAGAGTTCCGAGCTTCGTTCGGCTGACAATGAGACGGAACGAAGGTATAGAAGTTGGGGCGTGATAACGCCCATCGTCTTCCTTCGCTTGCGAATGAAAAATGCATTTCCTCAGCATCGTAGTCCCCTAATAACTCTAGGCTGAACTCGGATAGCAATCGACGGACCGTGGACCCTTCCTCCAGATCTCTGGTCTTTGGGGGAAGTTTCCGAAACTTTGCAAGTATCCGCCAGCAGTTCGGCGAAAGTTTCCGCTGCTAAAATAACGATGTGAAATTGGAGTGCTCTTTTCGCCATTCTGCCAGAAGGACGTTTCCCATTCGCAACTCCTGTTCGCCTCTCAAAGTGGTTGATACGGTAGAACATCGAGTTCGGAACGCGCGCTGCTTAATATCTACTCGCAGTTTGAAGACTCCCCAAAGTAGCTCCGGCGTAGAGACCATCAATCAATGCGACGATGTGCAACAAGTTACTCCAGCTTTCCCTTCCATAATAAAAGCTCGAAGACGAAGTTACTCCAGATTATCTAGCCAACGCGCCGTGACAAACAACCTGCGCCGCCGTGCATTCCAGGATCGAGGCGTCATTCGATGCTCGCTCTGACGTCAGCCCCTCCTTCAAGGATCTTCAGTCCTTTGTTTAGGCGACACGCATCCACGAGTCTACC